TTTTTTTTAAGAGAAATAACTTTCAAACCTTTCAGCTGCCAGTGAGATCCCGAAATGAAATGTCTCAAATGTTTCAGACCCTGTGGGAGTCTCGTAACACTCTAGCTGGTGGAGAGGGAAATAGGATGGAAGGAGAGCCTCTTCCCCAGCACCAAAATCATCTAAGGGACAGCTTCTAAGAAAATCTCAGGATCTGTTTGCTCTGAGATGATGAGAGACTGCCAAAAATAACAACACTGCTTATGGTTTTATATCTTTCAACATGGGTCCACTTAATTTTTTTTCTCTGCATTTCCTAAATGCTTATCTAAATAGGTATGTGAGTAATAGGACTTCATGGTCAAATAAACTTGGAATAAACAAGCTTCTTTAGAGTAGGAATAGAAAGGATTTAAAACATTAATTTAAGTGATTTATTTGAAAAGAGAACTTCCAAGCCACTAAAAACCAGTGGGGATGCCCATAGAGCACACTTGGGAGAGTGCCACTACTTTTTTATCCAGAGAGGAATTGTGGCAAGTGGTGCTTTTTCTTTTTTGTTAAAATGAGGAAATGGAATGTTTTCCAAGCTGTGGGATTACTACTAACAAAATAATTTAATAAGTACCACACAGCAACCAAGTACAAGGAATAGACTGGGCTATTCTAACAAACATCAGAGTGTATTACAGAGTACTGTAAATGTGTGCCTGCACGTATGTACACACAGTCATAATATAAAAATGTGTCATCTGTGGGTGGCAGTCACTGGGAATTATCCATGATCACACTTGGCCAGTGAATGAGACATAACAGGGAACTGAGACTTCATGGTTATCTTCTCTCTATGAATTTCTTGGGCAGATAATTTTTAGGAAATTATTTTTTGTGTGTGCAGCTTCTTGTTTAGGCCTCTTTATAAAAGTAAACGTCCAGATCTTTCACACTCCGGGTAGGAAGTGCCTCTATAGGTACCTGTCCAGGGTGTTACCCCCAAAGACCCCCCTGCCTTTTCCCCACACTCTGCTGGTGCTGAACTTAGAGAGTTATCTGACCTTTCTGAACTCAGTTTTCTCTTCTATGTGATGGATATAGAGTCGATGCTTTCAGGTTGTTGTGGCGATTAAACAAGATGAGGCAGGCAGGTGAAGAACCAGCACATAGAAGCCAGTACAAAATATTGATTTTTACTTTTTGCTTGTACCTACCCACTTCCAAAATAATTTGATCTAGTTGGCTAAGAACTTTGGCTTTTGTTCTCTAAACCAGAATTTTCTCAGCCAATAC